ATGGGGGGGAAAGGGGACCACAACGGCGAAATGGAGAAAGTCCTCCACACTTGGGAAGGAGATCTGAGGTATTCTGAGTCGCATCTCAGGTAGAGTACGTAGGAGCTAGACCATCGGCACCTCAGACTTGTCCACGTCTGTGTTGGAGAGATGTTTGTCCGTTAGATGTAGAGTAAAGTCCGCTGCATTGTTTTGAATTATCGTTTGTTTTTGATATTTGTTCGAGATGTCCGAACAGTTGGTTTGTTGTGCGACCTGGGGGCCTGGGAAGAACTCAGCCCTGGGATGACTGGCTAGCCGGCCTTGCCCCAACACCAAAACAGGTTCGTAACATAATGGCGCCCAATCTAAGACAAATTTATGAGTCGCAGTCCGTTCTCGAACACGAAAGTGGGAGAGTACGGCTGCGAATCATAAAGGTCAAAGAGATTATAAATGTCCAGCCGAGAGGAACGTTCTCGATTGGTAGTCTGCAGTCAGGGTCCGTCTGTGTNATTAGCCGCCCCACATATATTTACCGACCCTATTAATGTAATATAAATGTAGTAATTGTATTTATATTTATTTTAATATTTATATTTATTATTTTTGTGATTATTCCCACCCATTAATTTAAGTTGAAGAGTCGGGAATAGGCGGACGCGCCACGAGACATTAGTATAGGGATTTTTAGTTAAGTATGTGTTAAGTTTTTGGTTTAAATATTATAACGTTTAAAATTAAGTGCTAGTGTGTTTAGTATGGGGGGGAAAGGGGACCACAACGGCGAAATGGAGAAAGTCCTCCACACTTGGGAAGGAGATCTGAGGTATTCTGAGTCGCATCTCAGGTAGAGTACGTAGGAGCTAGACCATCGGCACCTCAGACTTGTCCACGTCTGTGTTGGAGAGATGTTTGTCCGTTAGATGTAGAGTAAAGTCCGCTGCATTGTTTTGAATTATCGTTTGTTTTTGATATTTGTTCGAGATGTCCGAACAGTTGGTTTGTTGTGCGACCTGGGGGCCTGGGAAGAACTCAGCCCTGGGATGACTGGCTAGCCGGCCTTGCCCCAACACCAAAACAGGTTCGTAACATAATGGCGCCCAATCTAAGACAAATTTATGAGTCGCAGTCCGTTCTCGAACACGAAAGTGGGAGAGTACGGCTGCGAATCATAAAGGTCAAAGAGATTATAAATGTCCAGCCGAGAGGAACGTTCTCGATTGGTAGTCTGCAGTCAGGGTCCGTCTGTGTTCCGGTGGCCTGTGAGGAGCTTTGAAGGCTGGCTCGCAGATGCACGGCACTGAGGGATCTGTAAATGTAGGAATCCACAAAGTAAATTGTTTTTTTTTTGGTTTGAGTTTAAACTTATCTGACAGAGCGAAGCCGGAGCTCTCAAAGGGGTGAGGTTGGCACTGGCTGAGGAGAGTCCTCAAGCCGGTTAGCAACCGACCCGTTGCCTGGTGGACAAAAGAGAGCCTGGAAAGGAAAATACCCGAAGTTAGTTAAGTTCGTGTAGTTTTTTTTTGTGCTGCTTCCCCTACTTACCGCTGGAGGACACCGGGAAAGTAGTATGTCGTAGAGATTTATTTTGCTCGAGGTGGCCCGTGGGGACATTAAGTCGGCCACGCGATGCACCTGGAGCAGCTACAAGATCCCGAAGCTATCCTTCAGTAGAGTAGTGGGACAGAAGCAGCTAGGTAGCAGGGTGAGCGCCCTTGACTCTTAATCTTCTGTAGAAGGTGAGAGGTCAACAGCGCTCGCGAAGAAGTTGAAGACGTTGGACAAGCAAAGACGTAGGGAACCAAGTGCAGATGGCCCCAGTAGCAGTTGTGGTTACTTTCCCCTCTTAGTGTTGATCTTGCAGTAATTTGAAGTTCCGTGTCAGGTTTTGTTTGATTTTTGAGTTTCTGTGGAAGAGAGAAAAGTAGGTGGTCAGAAAGTTTATGAGCAACTACAATTTACGGTCAAAGGGGAAAATGACTAGCAGGACTCCTCCGCCAGGAAACTTGCCGGAACAGGGCGCAGAAGGAGGAGAGAACGACAGTTGGAACCAGCCGAAGTACCCAAAAGAATTGCCGTCGGAAATTCTTTCGGGCATAAACGTCGCCATAACACAAGCGCAGGAGACGCAGAGAGGAGCTATGGCGGACACCATCAGCAGGACGCTGCAAGAGGAGATCCGTCGAGGATTTATGGAGCTGATGAGTGCCATAACGGAGGCAATGACGCCCCTGCGCCAGAAGGGAGAGCTGATCCAGGATCTGGGCTGGGAGGATGGTCCGAATGGCAGAGAAGGCTCCAGAATGGCGAAGACATAGTACCGGCACCCGACCCAAAGGGTCCGTGGAACAACAGGAGCATATTCCACAAGCGCCTCCGAGGAAGCCGGAGAGACTGAGCCAATATTGGTCACGCAGGGTGGAAGATGGTGGAAGCCTGGAAACGAGACCGATGGTACCTGAACGTGAACCAGCAGGAGCGGCGATACACGACGCCCTACGAGAGGCGAGACGACTGGAGAGAGCCGAGATGGGGACGCATCGACAAATGGGACATCCATTTCGACGGCGACCCAGACCCGGCCAAACTGACGGTGGAGGATTTTGTCTTTCGGGTCGAATTTCTCCAGAGGCAGAGTCGACGCTCGTGGGACGAAGTCCTTGATAATTTTCACCATCTGGTGAGAGGACGTACTGCCGAGTGGTACTGGCAGTTTGTAAGAGAGAGGCCTCCAGAAGTCTGGGAGGACTTAAAGGACGAGTTGGTACCCCGATTCCGTACAGTAGGTGGGCAATACGAGCGGCTGCGTGCGTTGAATGAGCGACGGCAAGAAGCTGGAGAGTCGGTGGAAGATTACTTTCGAGCGATGCGGAGGCTGGCTGCAAGACTGATCACCCCAATAGCAGATTCTGAGATGGTCAGAGTCGTCAAGAAGGGACTCGAGGAGGAGATCGCTCGTTATGTGTACGCGATCCGAGTCCGGAACCTGGAGCAGCTGAGGGAAGAGTGTGTAGAGGTGGAGCACCTTTTCCGCAGACGCGAGCGAAGGTCAGCTTTTCGCCCGACGCTGAAGTTCCAACAATCCGGTAAGCGAGTGGAGGAGATCGAGCCAGAGTCGGAGGAGCTGTTGGAAGGAGAGGAAGAGGTGATGGTTGAGGAAACCCACCTGACAGCGAAGCCGAGGCTGGGCTGCTGGAATTGCGGAGAAGTTGGCCACGGGTTTCGAGAGTGTATGGCCAAGGAACGCAGAGTATTCTGCTATCTCTGCGGAAGGCCCGAAACGTACACGCCGAAGTGTCCCAACTGCTCGGGAAACGCAAGAACGGGCATGATGAAGGCGGGATATCAGAGCTCGGGACGGAAGCCCGCGAGGAAGTGAAGGAAGCGCTATTGGAGGTTGTACAAATTAAGCATATTAACCCAAGTAGTATAGAAAAAAATAGTTTAAAATTCTTACCGGTCGAAGAGAGGATGAGAAAGTATAAACAAGCCCGAAATCGGATCTTTGACGGACATCAGCTGAATGGAATGCGAGGTGTCAGCCGTAGACTCCAGAGGGCCCGTGCACGCTTCCGGCAAAGGAGACAGACTCGCAAGGAGGTGGCGGAAGCAGTCAGGCGTGGAGCAGGACGTGACCCAAGGGTTTTTGCCGAGGTGCAAATTCTAGGACGGAAGATTTCCGGACTCCTGGATACTGGGGCATCCGTAAGTGTCCTCGGAAAGGGCAGTCGTGAGCTCCTAGACGACCTCGGGGTGGAGATGGACAACTATATCTCGATCGTCAAAACCGCCGCAGGAGAGGACAGGACCATATTCGGCAAGGCGAGAATCCCTGTGGAGTACAACGGAATCAGCAAGGACATTCTCTTTTACATCTGTCCATACCTGGAGCAAGTCATGTACTTGGGGGTCAATTTTTGGAGGTCGTTGGAGTTGGCTCCCACAGTCCTCGGTCCGTATCCAAGTTCGACAAGCGATGCCAAAATATCCGAAGTCCAGATGTCACAGATCAGTCAATATGTCGAAGACCACCAGGAGAACGTACATGTGGACGCGTGGGACCTGGAAGAGAAGGAAGCTGAAAACTGGAGAAGGTAAAGGGGGAGTTCCTGACTTACGAAGATGCCGGACTAGGGTCAACGACTGTAGAGGAGCATCGGATCCAGTTGGTAGAGGGCGCGGAGCCGTTTAAGGATCGACACTACCCTCAATCCCCAGCGATGCAGGAAGTGGTCTGGACCGAAGTGGACAAGATGCTGGAACTAGGAGTGATAGAGGTTAGCGATAGTCCGTGGAGCAATAGGACGACGGTAGTGCGGAAACCTAACAAAAACAGATTTTGTTTAGACGCCCGAAAGCTGAACCAACTCACCGTCAAAGACGCTTACCCNTTCCTGACTTACGAAGATGCCGGACTAGGGTCAACGACTGTAGAGGAGCATCGGATCCAGTTGGTAGAGGGCGCGGAGCCGTTTAAGGATCGACACTACCCTCAATCCCCAGCGATGCAGGAAGTGGTCTGGACCGAAGTGGACAAGATGCTGGAACTAGGAGTGATAGAGGTTAGCGATAGTCCGTGGAGCAATAGGACGACGGTAGTGCGGAAACCTAACAAAAACAGATTTTGTTTGGACGCCCGAAAGCTGAACCAACTCACGTTGCAGATGGATCCTGAAAGAGTTTTGGCCACTCAAAGGATTCCCAATCCGAGTTCAGTGAAGGAACTAAGAAGCTTCCTAGGAACCGCAGGATGGTATAGGCGCTTCATCAAGGATTACGCTTCCATTGCTGTGCCGCTAACAGACGCGCTGAAGAAGCATCCGCGTGGAAAGTTTTCCCTGTCCACAGAGGCCGAGACGGCGATAGGATCCCTGAAGAAGGCACTCACCACGGCTCCGGTATTAAGTCATGCTGATTTCAAGAAGCCTTTCTATGTACAGTGCGACGCATCGAATTACGGAGTGGGAGCGGTGTTGTTTCAGTTGGACGTCGGAGGAGCCGAGCGTCCGGTGGCATTCTTCTCCGCCAAGTTAAACAAGCATCAGCTAAATTATTCTGTAACGGAAAAAGAGTGTTTAGCTGCGGTGTTGGCCATTGAAAAATTCCGACCGTACGTTGAATTGATGCCCTTCACGGTTATTACGGATCACGCCAGCCTGAAATGGCTCATGTCATTGAAGGATCTAAACGGACGTCTTGCGAGGTGGTCATTGCGACTGCAGAGGTTTGACTTTGGGATCGAACCCCGGAAAGGAGTCGACAACGTCGTGGCGGATACACTCTCACGCTGCATGCTGCTTCACCACTATCTAGGTTGCCTCTAGGAGCCTAAGGTCTGCTGTCTCAAACTCAGAAGTCTTATAGTCCTCGACTTTCTTCTTTAGCCGTTCTTAGTTCTGTACAACGGACTGGATGCTCACCTTCCCCTACACTATAAGTTCGCCATGGCTTTCACGCAAATGGACGACCAAGTGGAAGGGACCATTTGGAAAGTATGGATTCCCGCGTCTCTGACGGAAACTCTCATCTCCAAGGCCCACGAAGACCACACAGCTGGACACGGTGGACTTAAAAAGACCTTGCATCGGCTTAGAAGGCAATTCTACTGGCGTCGCTACTGCTGTGTTCACGCCCTCATACAGGCCTTGACGCTACGAACATTCCTCAGGTTTCGTGGGTTAATAGCTTCGGTCCATCCCTAGCCAGTCCTTCAGCATTGCCTCTCCGGTAAGGTCTTTAATATGTAGCTAAAGGACCCCTTCATAGGAGCCAGCTTTTCCCCTGTTCGAAGGATTTTTGTCGTCGTAGACCACTTCTCTAAATTCACCTTTCTAAAAGCGATGAGAGAGGCGACAGCGGCGAACGTAGTTCAATTCCTAGTACAGGAAGTGTTCTACAAGTTTGGGGTGCCCGAGGTGATCCACTCCGACAACGGAAAGCAGTTCCTGTCGAAGATCTTCCAGGACATGATTAGCACCTTCGGCGCCCGACATCTGCGCACAGCAGTCTACTCACCACAGAGCAATGCCGCCGAGAGGGTGAACCGGACAATATTAGCTGCAATCAGGACGTATTTAGAGAAGGATCATCGAGACTGGGACATGTACCTACCGGAGATTGAAGTGTCGATCCGTGACTCAGTGCACGAAGCCACAGGCGTGACGCCGTTTTTTGCAGTTTTTGGACAGCAAATGTTCCTTAATGGGAACTGCTATAAGTTGGCGAGGAAGCTGCAGTCGCTAACGGAGCATGAGGTGCACGCATTGGACCCCGCGGATAAGTGCCACATCATCCGGGAACGTATCAAGGCCAACCTTCACCAAGCGTACGAGCGCAGCAGCCAGCGCTACAACAAACGGGCCCGAATATTTTTCGCCAAACCTGGGCAAGAAGTATACAGGCGCAACTTCACCATCAGCGACTTTGGGAAGAGCTACAACGCCAAATTCGCCCGGAAGTTCCTGAAGTGCCGAGTCGTACGTCCGGTTGGAAATAATGCCTACGAACTTGAAGACCTGGCGGGGAAACCGGTGGGGATTTTTCACGCCAAAGACCTGAAATTGTAGTGGGAAAGCTTTAGAAAGAGAAGGGAAGAAGAATAGGGCACTCATGTACAAACCGAGTGGGTGTGAGCCTACGTTGGGCGCTGCAAGTCCTTAGGGAAAGCGTTAGGTTTCAATGTCCTTCGAGTGTTTGCGAATAATTCTTCCGTCCAGGCACGCCTGAATTTTCGCTAGGTGTTGCATTCGAAGGAGAGCGATATGCAAAATACTAGATTTGGTAGTATTTTTTTTTGGAGGTTGATAGGTCGATAGGCGAAGGGGCAAGGCGATCAACGGTGCCGGTGAGAGAGCGGCAGAATGTAAGAGAGGGGAATATTGCGGGATCCACGAGCCAGCTCACCCACACCCTCAAGAATGCCATGCTATGCCCTTGAATTTGGTTCAAGGGCAATAGAAGAGATGAGATCAGCTGCAGCAAGGGGGACTGCGTAGAGTAGCTACGCTGAACATGCCGGCAGTGGAAAAATAGACATCGGCAGTGTTAGTGAGTTTTGTGTGTGTGACCGTTTAGGAAAAAGAAAGACCGGCCAACGTAGAGGACCCTTTTACCCGAATCGAAATAAAAAGTGAGTCCAGTCCAAAGGGAAAATGAATCCCAGATTCAATATTTTTAAAATCCATAGGGCATAAATTGTATCGGCTGGCTTCTCGTAGATGGGCCAAAATTACCATTCCCCGGCCCGCGGAATCCTGGTCACACCCCTGCTCGGGCGCGACCCGCCACAGCGCCACTGACAATTAATATAATTAATCTATGCCTACATAAACGCATACCTATTTACATGCGTATATAAAGACACAAAGACACACAAAAATAATATCTGTCTATATTAATTAATATTCAATTAATTTGCCACCCCACATATATTTACCGACCATATTAATGTAATATAAATGTAGTATTTGTATTTATATTTATTTTATTATTTATATTTATTAATTTTTTTGATTATTCCCACCCATNAGGGCAATAGAAGAGATGAGATCAGCTGCAGCAAGGGGGACTGCGTAGAGTAGCTACGCTGAACATGCCGGCAGTGGAAAAATAGACATCGGCAGTGTTAGTGAGTTTTGTGTGTGTGACCGTTTAGGAAAAAGAAAGACCGGCCAACGTAGAGGACCCTTTTACCCGAATCGAAATAAAAAGTGAGTCCAGTCCAAAGGGAAAATGAATCCCAGATTCAATATTTTTAAAATCCATAGGGCATAAATTGTATCGGCTGGCTTCTCGTAGATGGGCCAAAATTACCATTCCCCGGCCCGCGGAATCCTGGTCACACCCCTGCCCGGGCGCGACCCGCCACGGCGCCACCGACAATTAAATAATTAATCCATGCCTACATGAACGCATACCTATCTACATGCATATATAAAGACACACCAAAATAATATCTGTCTATATTAATTCATATTTAATTAATTAGCCGCCCCACATATATTTACCGACCCTATTAATGTAATATAAATGTAGTAATTGTATTTATATTTATTTTAATATTTATATTTATTATTTTTGTGATTATTCCCACCCATTAATTTAAGTTGAAGAGTCGGGAATAGGCGGACGCGCCACGAGACATTAGTATAGGGATTTTTAGTTAAGTATGTGTTAAGTTTTTGGTTTAAATATTATAACGTTTAAAATTAAGTGCTAGTGTTTTTAGTATGGGGGGAAAGGGGACCACAACGGCGAGATGGAGAAAGTCCGCCACACTTGGGAAGGAGATCTGAGGTATTCTGAGTCGCATCTCAAGTAGAGTACGTAGGAGCTAGACCATCGGCACCTCAGACTTGTCCACGTCTGTGTTGGAAAGATGTTTGTCCGTTAGATGTAGAGTAACGTCCGATGCATTGTTTTGAATTATCGTTTGTTTTTGATATTTGTTCGAGATGTCCGAACAGTTGGTTTGTTGTGCGACCTGGGGGCCTGGGAAGAACTCAGCCCTGGGATGACTGGCTAGCCGGCCTTGCCCCAACATCAAAACAGGTTCGTAACATATCCCTATACTGTGTCGCCTTTTTTTTCGTGATTTTCCGAGGATTTATCTGCAGCGACAGGAAGCCGCACTCCCACAAACATGGGTCCTTCGAGCCGGCTTCTTGCTGAATCGAGAGTGTCCCAGCAATCATCGGTGGATTCCAAAAAAAAAAAAAACAAAACTGCAGGTGAGTACGCTCACATTTCCATATGTACATATATTCTCATGTACATATTGTCCGATCCCGCTAAGAATTTTCGTGTAATTTTATCCGCTACACCGCCATAATATCGGCGTCCGACATTTACATATGTACGTGCATATGTTTGTCAGATCAGCACGCAAACACCCCGCCCCCAAATAAAACACTCCTTCGAAATGTTTTATTGGCGTTATTCATTTCCATAGATTTGTATATTCTTACATTCTATATTTACAGTGGATATTTTTTTTTTTTTTTGGGTTTTATGTTACCGCTCCACCCTTGGGTTAAGGGGGATTATTTGGCCGCCCGCCTTTACAAGGTGGAAATCGCCACGTCGAGATTTGTAACTTGTTACAGTTTTACTCCAATACTTACCTGGCGTAGAGGTTATCTTTTAATTGCCATTTTAATTTAGAAAAAAACTAAAAGTCCGACGCCCATTATAGTGTGACCGCAATCGGAATACATTGGATATTTAAGTTAAATAATAAACAGCATTAATCCCGGGAAAAATACCACCAAAATACCAAAAACGACACTTCTACCACTAACCAAATAGTATAGTAGATGGTCAATTTGGAGGAAGCGAAACGTCACCGCAAAAAGTGCGTCGGGAAGTCCCAGGCCTCTGCCAACGTCGCAGCTACAAGTATTGGTACAATAACAACTTTTATTGGTATATTTATTTTTTCTAACCCCCAAAGGTCCGGCCACCAATCCCCACCCCTCATTCTGCACATGATGCAGTAGGTCAGTTTCATACGCCAAACCCCGAAAACAAAATCAAATCATCAAAACGAATTTTCGTTCCATCGCACTTCAGAAAGTCAGCGCACCAACACATACATTACTTGCAGTGTCCGTGTGAATCAAGCCAGAACCGGTTTGGAGCGCTAAAAAATCATTGGCTACACGCACTTACACAGATGTAGCTGGGACTTCTGGCTGCGTGCTCTACACGCACTAATACAAATGTAGCTGGGACTTCTAGCTGCGTGTTCTACACGCACTAATACTTGTAGCTGCGACATTGGCAGAGGCCTGGGACTTCCCGACGCACTTTCTGCGGTGACGTTTCGCTTATAGGCAGCTGATAGTCTGCTATATTATTTGGTTAGTGCTTCTACATACCACACTTGGTATCTGTCTGCGCCTACGCGTTAGTCCCATACGCGGTACCAGCACTCCGCTGCATATGCAAATTTCGCGATTACCGAGATTCTAAGCATTCCAGGCGCACCTGAAGCGACCCACAGCCAAAAGAATTTCCCCCAAATCCCGGATAAATTAATCCGACAAAAGGCACAGCTCATTTCCGCAGCCTTTTTTAAGTTTTTTCTCGCCAATTTCCAAATTGCCAAAAATCTAGAGGTGAAAAACAAACACACTCTTATCCATCCGAGTGGACTAAATAAAATCCAATAAAGATATATAACGAGAAGGGCCGTGTGAGACGCTTCTTACGCGTCACAACTTTTACACCCGGCACTCAATACTACATCTGCACCTTAGCGGTTATTTGTCAAATTTTACATTTTTTCTTCATCTGTCATCTACATCTACAACACTTTTCACACCAATACGCTCCGTTAGCTCGCCGCCCTTCCCTAGACACACACACTGCAGGCACGAGGCAGAGGCGTCCGCACAAAAAAAAAAAAATACAAACAAAAGCTGCGGGACGGGGAGGCTTAAAAGTAGGAAGAGGCATCGGCAGGGGGAGGGCAGAGGCAGGGGCCGAGTGAAGCAGAAGCAGAGTGTGAATGAGAGAATGTAAAAAGAACAAGAAAAGCAACGGGACAGGTTGGGTTTAGCCACTGGAAATTAATTTCACCAGTGTGGGTATAAGAATGATCCAATCGGATCCCAAAAAAAATTCAAAATTGTAGATCTATGAGGTTTTTTGGGTGGAAGGGGGCGTGGCTCATTTTTTAAATACACTGGTGTGTTCAGTGTGAGCATATAGCACTCTGGATGCAAAATTTGGTGGCTCTAGCTCTTATAGTCTCTGAGAACTAGCCGACAAACAAGACGGACAGACGGGCAGACTGACATTCTATCGACTCGTCTATTGATTCTAATCAAGAATATATATACTTTATGGGGTCGGAAACGATTCCTTCTGTGCGTTACATACAACCGTTATTCCCCACAAATACAATATACCCTATTTACTCTTCGAGTACCGGGTATAAAAATATCGTAGTCTAGTGCGGATTCCGATTTCGACTTTTTGGTGCATTAAAACCACTGCCAATAAGAAAATATTATTTTTCTTGAGGTATATCGTCCGATAGTTTTCTCGTGCTTGATAGAGAAACAATTCCTTGTTTTTCCATCGATAGGCTGACCACCTTGGAAGCACGGCTCACCACTTCCGGGACCACCACCCCATTTTCCTCGGTTTCGAAGGTCCGTCGTGACCAGCTCCAAAACATGTATGGCGAATGCTATGAGGGCTACGAGCTGTGCTTAGCGGGCCTTATTGCCCAAATTGACCGCCCATAAGTTCGTCCTCCAGTGCCGCAAGCCTCCCAGGGCGGCTGTCATCTGCCCCCCTGTGATATTGAAGTTTTCACAGGGGATTAAGTCCGCTGGCCTACGTTCCGGGACTTATTCACCGCGACATATATCGACAATCCGAGGCTATCTCCAGTGGAGAAGCTGTAACACATCTCCACGAAGACCCGTGGCGATCCGAAAGCCATAGTCGAAAAGTCCCCACTCACCAACAACGGTTTCGAGGCAGCATGGTCAGCCCTCCGTAACCGATATGAAAATAATCGACTCATGGTGCCTCGCGTGGGTTCCGAGACCAGTCGTGCCTGGAAAAACCTTCAGAGCACCATTCAAGGGGTTCTAACCGCCCTGGCTCACTCCAAGGTCTGCACAGACATAGGGACAGTCTTCTTGTTACTATCTGTGCTTCCAAGCTACCAAAACTGACCCAGGCTCTGTGGGAAGCGTCAGTAACTGACAAAAAGCCTCCCTGGACGGAAATAGACTCCTTCCTCACATAGCGATACTTTACGCTAGAGGCCATGGAGAGCGACCCTTCCCAGACTAGGAGCGATCCGCATCCGCCACCGTCCAAAGGCAAAACAAATCCGAAACCCTCCGGAAGCCACGCCAACCCGTTCCGGTCTCAAGGTAGTCCTCCTCCGAGGAATTTTCAATCCTTCAGTACCCGCGTGAATCCGAAGAAGTGTGATCTCTGTTCCAAGGAAAATCACCCAATCCAACTATGCCCGCACTTCCTCCAAATGGACGTTGAAGCACGTTCTAGCTGCATTAAGACGAAGCAGTTGTCCTTAAATTGTTTTGCACGAGGTCGCCAGCTACGATAGTGTACAAGCGCCCACAATTGCGTGCCGTGTGGAGCCCGTCACCACATGCTCCTGCATCGCGGTACTCCAGCATCCCGTGAGTCGTCCACATCCGTACCCAATTCTACAGCTTGGCCAGGCCCAAGCCCAAGTACATACTACACAGAATTCAGGTTTATCCGAACCTCAATCTCATGTCCAGACATATTTTACCTGCATGCTCCGCTCCGTTCCGCAAATTACTAATGCTTCTTCAACTTCGTCATTTCGTCCTAGCCAAGTCGA